CATACCTTGAGTATGAAAACGCTATCTAGACCTCGAATTAGCATGATTTTTGGGCATGATACTATACCCTAACCCTTAATGAGTGAACTCCCCATATATATATATATATATATATATATATATATATATATATATATATATATATATATATATATATATATATAAAAAAGAGGATTTCATTCAAGAGTAGGCAAGGTACCGAGATACTCTAACAATTATTTCACAAGTAGTTTACACTAGAAAGGATCAGAAATTAAGAAATCACGAACACCCATAAGTAGACTGTGACCGCAATCAACTAGGTAATCCGCACAAGTGTTGCCCTCGCGGTATATGTGGGAGTGGGAGATGTCACTGCCCTGGTCCTTCAGGCTCTTATAAATCTTAAGTGATGAAATTGTACATAAACTTTAAATTTGTAGAGTTAACAAAATTTTCAAATTTATCAACTTCAACACTAAACCGGCTAAAACTAACATAATTTATTATTTGAAAGACTGAAACTACATATAGATTCTAGACAAACACTATTGTCATAACTGTATCCATTCAAATTCTCTCAATTTACATCCCCACCCATTTGACCATTTCAATATATCTGCACCAAACCGCCATAACTTCTTTGTGACTTTTTTTTTTTTTTTGTCATAGAAATCTTGGTAGATTTACAAGGCAAGGATAAGGGTAGCCACAATAAACGGCATACTCACCTATCATAAGACATATAGAACAAATAAGAAAAATCGACTAACAAAGAAGGTAATCCAGGAAAGCGTAGGGCATGTTGCGCCACTAAATGGGCAGCCCGATTCGCATCTCGAGGAGTAAAACGTAAAACAACTTTTGGCAATTGGACTAGTAATGCATGAACCTCCGAATAAATGGCGCCAGCACGTGCATATGATAAATTGCCCGAGACCAGCTTGTCAATGACCACTTGGGCATCGCTCGTAAGAAACACATCCTGATCATGCCAATTCCACCGTTGCAATAAATATAATGCCTCTCGTATAGCGAGCAACTCAACCAAGCCTGGATCCGACACTCCACGAATAAAAGCCCCAAAAGCAAAAGTCGGGACAACGCCTGTCAAACCGACAACACCAATGGCTCCAGAGTGATGGGGAGAAGTGGCACCATCAACCGCCAAACGCAGACCTTGAAAAGCACCAGTAAAAACTGCTGAAGGAACTGTAGTGCGTGACGACGGAGGAGGGTGAGGGGCCGGAGAGGCAAGTGCAAGACGGTTGGAGTCGCGATGTGAAAGGAATTGACGACGGAGAACAGGGACAGTGAATTGAGCATAAGGAGAGAACACAACATTATTACGCCCTTTCCAAAGACGCCAACAGAGAAGTAGCCAATCAGAGATGATATCCGTGGCAGCATGGCATAATAAACTCCGCCACAACAGAGCGAAATGGTGAGAAGGATCAAAACCCAGCGGCAGAGAAATGGCAATTGCATCCCGAAGACGAATAGCCACAGGGCAACGAATAAACAAATGTTCAAGAGACTCCCCTTCATCAGATTCGCAAACCGGACAAAAGGATGGAACATCAAGACCATGTCGCTGTAAATCCTCTCGAACCGGTAAAATCCGAAGTAGCATTCTCCAAAGAAAAAACTTGAGCTTGGGCATCACCGGTAAAGACCAAACTTTTGGCCACAAAGAAGGGTCAAGAGGGGAGGCCAAGTCCACCGATCGAGAAGAATGGGGAGCAGAAATAGCATTAAGTTGTAGCCCAAGATGATACGCCGACTTAACCGAAAAAACGCCATTGGAGGTGTAATGCCAAACAAACTTATCTGGAGACAAAGTGTGGGGAAGGGGAATGGCAAGGATGCTCTGAACCGAAGATGAATCAAAAAAATCACGTAAACGAGTCTCATTCCAAGTAGAGGTAGTAGGAGAAATAAAGTGAGAAACAAACAAAGGAGAAACTTGTACTGAAGGAAGACAAGTAGGACGAAAAGCAGGCAAAGTAGGCACCCAGGGATCTGAGAAACCCTATGCATTTCTATTTCAGTGGGCCCTGACTCAAATCCGACACCATTTTGAATTTGAATCAAACAAGGAAGAAGGGGAAATAAATAAGAAAGAAAAGGGAGTAATGGACCAATTTATTTATTCATAATTGAAAAAAGAAATCCCCCAACATCCCCATTTACTGTAGCCCAAGAGACCTTTTACTGTGCTTAGTGACTCATAATTACTGTTTCGACTGGGAAGGAACTCGGGTGTGGGCGGGTGCATGGAGGGGGCTCTTTGGTTCCTTGCGAAATCTTTGTAGTTCGGTTGCTTTGAAACTCTGGTTTGCCTTCTGGTTGGCTGTCCTCTCAGTCTATCTCACCCGCATTGATCACTCGGCAGATTTTTGCTCCTTCGGGTTCTGGGACCGGCCACTCTATTTGATTGAGACATATCAAGTTTCCATTATTCGAGGTCTCCATGGACTCTGATTGGCGGGGATTTTTTCCTCAGTGCAATAGCCTTGGTTGTAGCACCCACGTCACTGTCTTCGTTCTTGGGGACTGACGACTGAAGGTCTGCTTGGGAAACCCGTCAGTGGGTGCTACATCATCCCTTCTCCACCACATATTCCACCTAACCCAAAGTGGCCGCCGAGATAGAGAAGGGTCAAATTTCACGACTCTTTAGTCTGTTGCGCTCCCCTTTCTGTCATTCCTCTTTCTTCTCGACTTCTCTCTCTCTCATTTTTCTCCCTCTGTTGTTTTTCTCATCTCTCTTTTTTGGAATTATGGGCGGGGTTGAAAGCGATCTGGAGGCATGTTTGAGAGGATCGGAGAGAATCCGAACGAGATCCAGAGCCGTCGTTGATTTATCTTCCGGTTCTACTTATCATCCAGATCCGCCGGCTCTTTCTTTGATTTCAGGTGGTTGGCTGGATGATAGGTTTACTTCCGTTCAACCGACCCAGTGAGAGACTCGGACAAGGCATTTTGCAGTTTCTCTCTCACGCAGGTTTCCCTCACTCTCAAAATCGATATTGTTTAAAGTTTTCCGTTTTAACTCTCTCTTTCACTCACTTCTTCTATTTGCGTTGGAATTTCTTACCTCAGCTTGAGAGATAATTGGATCTAGAAGCGATCAATGGCAGATTTGAGGGACAGAGGGAGAGGATTCGAAGAATACCCACATCAACAGGTTTTGTTCTGGTATGAAGATGCAGATTTGTGCTCAGGATGTCTGATGTCATCGCCACTTCTATTGTCGGTTAGAAATAATATTAAATCTTCATTGCCAGTATATGCTTCTTTACGTTTCTGACTTCAGTACTGTAGAGTCTTTGCTCTTCTTGCTCTTGCTTTCTGCATAGTCGGTGCCATCAAAATTTGTTTGTGATCTCCTCTTAGTCTTTGTCCAATTTATTTACTTCCTTTCGCCTTTGTTTTGCTTCGATCTGCAGGTGGCTAATTAAGACAGGCTCAACATGGAGACTAATTTACAACTAGATGGTACTTTCTTCTATAATCGTTCTTGCTGTGGTGGTTTTAACATATACGGTTTGTCGCTTTCTCTGATTTATAGGAATTGATGTTTAGTGTTGATAATTTGTCAGTGGTTAGTGTTGAACCAACAATCCAAATTTAGTCCTCTGGTCTGCTCTAATTTATTTATGAACATATTGTCAGGTACGTTGGTTTTATATTTGTCAGCTTGCTTTTCAGTTTTATCTTTTAAGAACTGTTTTCTAGCTTTGGCCTACGTTCTAAGAGTAGCTCAATTGTTGGTATTGAAAAAGAAGCTTTGGGCAATGTCGTATGAGTATCTTTAAACTTTTTGCTGCAACCGTCTAAGTTTTCTGTTACACAGCTTCCATGCCTACAGTGAGGTTGCAATCATGCACTGATACTGATAAGCTCCGGTTAATTGTTAAGCAGTTTTGTAGAGTCCACATTTTCTATTGTTTTTGCTTATCCATTCTATTTCTCTTATGTTCTTGGATGCGGATCCTCGAATTATTTGACTGGAAAACAGATTTTGGTGTTGAAGTTACTTCTGTTTAATTTTTATGGACACTGATTTGATTCAGATTTTTCAATTTTTAGAACTGGAGTTTTGGACGACAGGGAAGGAGGTTGGCTTTCGGGAGAGCAAACAGATATCGGTTGCGAGTTTGTCATGGTGATGGTTTGTAATTTTTATGTTGCCGTGTGTACAAATGGAAGCCTTTGTGCTCATCCTGTTATGATTATTTGTTGTCTCATGGCTTGAGGATAGAGAGTTTGCCTTGGCTTTTGGAAAAGGTCCTCCTTCGTTGTAACTTTGTTGTTACAACCCTGTTTTTAATGTTACATGCAGAAAGATTTAAACAGTTGATGGCTGTAGGGCATTTCAGAAGATTCTGAACTATTCTTTTCTCATGCCCAATCGAGTATTTTATTTTCAAATTTACATAGTGGAGGTCCTTTTAAATATTTGTTAGCTAATTTATTTATTTCAATTATACCAAATGATCACCTGGGTATTCATATCAAAACTTTGCTAAGATACTATTCAAGCTTTGTAAATGTCTCAACGATTATGACTTGAAAATGAATAGTTGACACTGAGTTGTTTATGTTTATGACGTTTGTATCTATACCCTCATTTGCACAACCTCTAATTATATAGTATGAAATACAGAAGGCAATTCTTTGTTTTGTTGTTCCTCAAGTCCCAGCGCGGAGCGCGGGCAAGGAAAACTAGTAATATATATGCCGTTCACACATAGGAATTGATCAAATAACAGTCCCTGCGAATAATGAAGTCTGATTTTATGGGAGTGAGACAGAAAGACCGTCGTTGGTTGGTTCATACATACACAATGACCAACTAATCAAAACAAATTTCTATTCAAAGTCAGTAACGACTCTTCCTCCTCCTCCTCCTCCTTGTTCTTCTTCTTCTTCCTCTTCTAGTGTCGTTGTAAACAAAGCTGCAATATAACGCCGAGTGATCTCCAAAACCCCATCATTATAACTTCCTTCTGAAACCCCCCACTAGTCTGTCGTCACAAAACCAAACCCCAAGAGATTCACAATTTCCATCGCAGAGAAGAGAAAGACATTGATCATGGCGGTCGGGATACTGGAAGTTCATGTGGTGAGCGCGAAAGGCCTCAAAAGCACCGATTTCCTTGGTACGTACAATCGCTCGCCTGTACTGTGTATGCTCTTTTCAACAGATTCGATTTCCTTTCCTGGGTTTCTTTCCTTTATTGCATGTCTGCGCTTATTGTCCATGAAGCAATTTTGATTGATCGATCGATCTTCTCCAGAATCGAATTCTGGGTTAATCTAATTAGCTTAGCTCTTGTGTGAAGGTGGAATCGATCCGTACGTGGTGGTTCAGTACAGAAACCAAGAGCGCCAAACCAGCGTTGCCAGAGGTAATATATTTCTTAACTGCACTTTTGCTTCTCTCGATTTAATTAATCCCAGTACTTTTGTACATTTCGTTTATCTTAGTCCCCTAGTTCCAATTCAAGCTCAATGAGGCCATGTTCCTACCTAACTAGACAAACACACCAAAACAAACCTCATTGCAAGAGTTTCCTAGTGTTCAACACAAGAAAAAAGGGAGTTTCCTTCTGTTTGTGGCCTAATTAGTTTGATGATGATAGTTTAAGAGTTTCGTGAATGGAAGGGAACATGATCTCATTGAGCTTGGTATAGTATTCCAAAAGTACATGTGTACGTATTTGACATGGCATTCTTTACCTTCTTATTGCACAGAGAGAAATTTACAGAAAGTTTGTATGTCAATCCGCTATAGAGGTGGTTGATGAGATTATGATTATAGTTCATAGTTATCTTACATGCAATGCAGGGGCAGGTGGGAGCCCAGAGTGGAACGAGAAGCTGACATTCAGAGTGGAGTACCCAATCAATGGTCAAGGCGGCGGCGGCGGCGAACACAAGCTCCTCCTCAAGATCATGGACCACGACACCTTCTCTGCGGATGACTTTCTTGGCCTTGCTACGTAAGCTGAATCATCCCCTTTCTTAAAAATCACTTGTTTGTGTTTTGTATCAATTACGACAGTGATCGTTACTTATTATGCGATGATTGCCCTGACAGGATTCACCAAGTGAAAGATTTGTTGGAAATCGGGGTGGAGAAGGGGAGCTCGGAGCTGCATCCTTGCAAGCACAGTGTGGTCACTGCTGCAAATTCTTACTGCGGTGAGATTAAAGTTGGCCTCACCATCACCATTAAGGTAACTGCGTCGATCGATCCAGTAAAGTGTTAATTTTATTGTGTACTGTGTTGAGTCTGACTAGCTTTTGATTGACGATCGCGTTGAAACAGCAGGAAGGGGGTGATGGTGGCCAAGGGCAGCAGTTTGGAGGGTGGAGGCAGAGCAGAGACTTTTAGCCATTAGTTACTATGTGCATTCAGAGTTGTGTATGTTTCAAATTATGTGTTGGTCTGGATCAGCTTCTTGATCTTGAACCCAGAGGATGTAACGTGTGCGTTTAATGCAAATTAGGTTGGGCTTGTGTTGTCTTTGTTATGTATATCATCTCTACCAGCTTTCTGCCTCTCTACGGTTTTGCTCAATCGTATTAGTTGAATGATACAGAAGTATACCTACTTAGCGTTTGCCCCCAGAAGAAGCAAATGAGTGTACTACAATTCTTCACAAACTTACCCTTTCGATCTGTGTTTCGGAGAGAAGAGGGACGAAAAGAAAAAACGGGGGAGAGTGGGAGCCGAGAATTTGTGCAGCAAGCTTATCCTTAAGCTGTGCGGATTTGTAAAATGATTGTTAAGAATATAATGTTAGAATAAAAATTATCACCTAGCCGTCTTAGCTCAGCCGGTAGAGCGCGTGGCTTTTAACCACGTGGTCGTGGGTTCGATTCCCACAGACGGCGACTATCTTGTTTTACCGACTCTCTATCAGACTGGGTTTTTTTGGCTTTTTGCAGATTGAGAAGCTGCAGACAGAATTGGAGGCATAACAGGCAACAGGGAAGGTGCTGCATTCTGCACTTCCTAGTCCTGTTGTATCAACCCATCCATCCATCCATCCCTTGCTTCATTGCTTCCGCCTCAAGTAAGCTTTTCAGTTCCGGATTTTTCGACCATAAAAAAATATTATTATTTTTTGATCTCGCCAAAGAAAGGAGGTCACAGCGGCAGCAGCAGGGGTGCAAAAAAACAAATCATCAGAAGAATCACTTGGCACTGCTGCCACCACCTCCGTGTGCACCTCGGAGGGGATCGCTCTCTGATCAATGGTGATCTCTACCACGTGTCCAGATCACAACGCCATGCTGGTGGTTTCAGAAGGGTGAGGTTCAAATTTATAAGAGCTTCTGCTGGTTCTGCAGAAGAATTATTCTGCATTCTTCCCACCGCTGCTGCTTCACCAAGTACGCCTCTAAACTCCTAAACGATAGATTGTGCATTCAGGAGATTACTCGATTAAACTCAGTTTGATTGGCTTCATTCTACGTAGAAGCTGCTTCTCATGATTTTACTAGCACAATCAATGAACTTAGAGTAGAATCGAATGAGATCATGATATCATTTGCTATAAAAATTCAAATCCGAAAAGGTTTGTAGGGTGTTCTTAGTGATTGTAACTCTTTTTACATGAGTGATCCACTAAATCTTAGTGATTGTAACTCTTCTATGTCCTTTGCAGAAGCCGAAAAGCCAAAGAAGCAACACGGGCAAAGATCACTGAAGCATAATGAAACCAGAATGCGGATAGTAGTACGTTACGAGAAGCCAAATGAGCTATCTGAAGAACTCAACAGATGCCCCATTGGCATATTCCTTGATCTCATTATTTCGAACTTTTTTTCGTAACTCAACCAAACACTATTTTGAAACACAATCAAACACTTCACTTGATAAAACATACACCACCGACTAGGGCAGACTCATTGATACACTAGCAGAAGCACTCAAACGCCGTGGATACAAAAGGAACACGAACTGCTTCAAACCGCAATCAAGACAAACAGAAAAGAGAAACCACAGAGTGCCAGTTCAGCTAAGGAAATTGACAATCCTATTTAATAAGTTCAAGCCAAACACGGTTTCTTCACAATTGACTTTCACCGCCACATTCAATGGCTCGGAGCATATACCTTCAGCTGTGACGGTAATTAAGCAGGGGACTGAGTTGCTAAGAATTTCACTGCTGAACCGCAAGCACAAGCCAGATGCATCATCGTGCTTGGCTGCGATCGGCATGTCGACAGATACAAGGAAGAGATTGGCATTGCTGAGCATTGTCAACGCTATGCTCTCACAGACTACCAGAAACTTGTCTTTTGAGAACGTGTGGTCTCCCTTTTCCTTGTTTAGATCGTCTACATGGCCTTTGAAGATACAACTGGAAACCCAGAAAGTGAAAATGAAATGAAGATGAACTCAGTAAGTGGTATTAATGCATTGACAGAAACAGGTGAACAGGAAAGCAATTGAAATACAGACAATGGGTGTATACGTTTTTGCCTAAAATAAGTACTTTTTGAAAAAGAAATTGAGTTAAAAGCCAGATCTATCATCAATACTAAACCCCGAAAATTATTTAAATACAGTCCATTTGGAATGAAAATCCATCAATGATGGTTGTTGTCATGCCAGTGGCATGCCGGCCGGTTGAACCGGTGCCGGTCATGAAATCGACATAACACCATCGGTATGACCGGCATGATGAATTTACGAATTCTAAGCAAAATGACGTTGTTTTAGTGAATTTAATTAGTAGAAAATAAATTTATTACATATTTTATGGATACAAAAGTTAAAAGTTGATGTAATTTGTTGGATTCGGGTATAAACGCATAAGTATTGACGTTAAATGTTGTATTTAAATATGAGTATTTGTTATTTTATTTGGAATGTTGTATTTTATTAAGCCGGCATGAACTGGCACAAACCGGTTGTACCACTGGTCGTACCATTCCACTCCCTAAAAATAATTCATACCCGCCAAGACAACTTTTTCTTAACACTTTCCCAAACACACTTTCTCTCTAATGTTTCTTAAACTTGAGGAAAAGTCACAATCAAAAGCTAATACACAATGATATGATGATACTGTCAGAATGATAATAATTACTAAGATTAAAAGTCGGAGCCAAGTATAAGTTAACTGACCTCCTTGTGCACTCAAACATTCCTGGAAGATGAGATTCCTTGTCTCTGAATACTTCAACATCCATTGGAAGTGGTTTTACAAAATACCCAATGTCAGGGCGCAATTTAACTGGAAAACTCTTGCCATTGAAATATATGACCAACTTCAAGGGCAGTAGATGGTGGTGGAAGCGAACATGGATTGTCTCCGTAGTTGCTTGACCAGGTTCCAGAGAAGTAATCTCTTGCATAGGAACCAGTGCTGGTACATCATCCTGAGAAGAGCTGCAATAACCAAGTCAAAGGCATGTGCGCTAAGTTAGTTCAACAGAGAATCGAAGAAAAACATTGTTGTTGACAAAACAAAATACAGATATTTGTTCAATTTTTAGTGATGACAGGGGTATGGAAACATCAAAGGTACCAGCAAAATTACAGCTTCACAGCCAATCAATGACTAGATAAGAAAACCAGTCACAAGTAAGTAAACTAGCCAAAAGCGATAGGAAGAAAAGTTACCTCTCAGAACAATCTGAAGGTTTGGTGGTGGAGTCCTCATGCTTCAACACTATGTTTGAGATGGTCTCAATGGAACAGTTCTTGAAAGTAGCTTGTATGGTTACAACATGAGGGGAAATATTTGAAACATCAGATGAAAAAGTATAATCCACCTTCATGCCATTTCCATTCGCAGGGTCTAAGAGTTCATAGGTCTTAGGTCTTACTCGCTTCTCAATGTCCTTAATTGAAATTCTTGCTGACCTGGGGACCTTACTCTCTTTGTGTATACTTGAATTTGGTAAACTGGGTTGATCATCCAACCAAGTTTCTAAATCTCTTTTTGACATAAGTTCCTCAAGATCAGCAGAAGCAGCTGGCAGGAGATGGCTCTCATCAGATATTTGAATCAGTGGATCTTGGATGTTTTCATCCTCATTTGAGGAACCACTCTCACCACTCTCAGTATTGCCACCAGAAGTAACTGAGTGGTCAGAGCCATTGTAAGAACCACTTCCCTCATCCAAAGATCCAGTAAATGAACCAGAACCATCTTGTTCTGATACATCTGCCTCAGTATCTGCATCATGAAGAATAGTACAAGGCTTGGGCAGTGGTTCATACCCTGGGGCAGCATGAAGTACAATCTGTGACAGGGAGCCTGGGAGATAGACTCGATAATTGATTGGTACCGGGGACTGTTGAATTGCTTGTTCATGAAACATGTGTTCAGAAAGTACATTCAGCAGGCCTTCATTTTCAGGGGAAGTGATCACCTCATCTTCCAATTTCTTTGAGCCCAAATGACACGAGAGAAGTTTCCTGAAGAAACAGCCTCTTCCACGGACAACATAGTTCATATCACACTCAGCTAGTTCAAGCACATAGCGAGCTATTTTTTGTAATGTCTCTAGATTTTCACCTCTTGAATTTGACAGTACCTACAGGCCATTAAACACAGAATCAACTGCAGAGTTCTCTTAAAGCATCCAGCTCAGAATTGTCAGAACAGATTCATGCACGGGAAGGGTAGAACAAAAGTCTTGATGCATTAGGCACCTTAGGCCTTGGAGCTCACCAGAGAGAGGTGCTAGTGAAATTGATTAATGAATATTTTAAGAGTTACTGAACGAGATCTATAAAATACCTTAGCAACTGTGTTTAGAGTCTGCAGCTTTGTTTCTGAGCTTTCTGAAGCAAAGCTCCAAGCAATATACTTAAGAACAGTAAGTAGCATTTTGGGAATTATCTCCCCAACCTTGCTATACTCTCCCACCATCCAAATAATTATTGCACGCGCTGCAGGTACCTTGATGGAATCTAGGTTACGGACTAACTGAACAATAACCTGCAAAAGATGAACGAATCAAATAACAAAAGGAAGCTCCAAAAGAGCAGAGACGAATCATTTTCAAGCTTTGTTGTGTTATTTAGAAGCACATGGTTTACGTCTAATTAATGTTTTTAAGCATCGCGCCTTTTATTGGTTGACCTTGTCCTTTGACAACTATTTTCCAACTTAATTGAGATGACTAGTTATTCAATATATGCTACCAAATGGTTCATGGTTCTCTAATAGTTTGTAGAAGGGATGAAGTGAAATAGATAATAGGTTCAACATATAATTTCACCATCATCAAGCATGTGTCTACCTCGCACCGCTGCCAGCCTTAGTTATCAAGATTAAGGCATGCAAATGAGGAGAATGGAAATGCAAATGTCTTGAGAAGAACAAAGTAGTAGCAGTACCTTTTCATGACTAGGAGGATCCTGCTTTATAATCATTTTAATCGACATTATTGCTTGAACTAAAACACCTGCTTCTTCCTCAGAAGTCCTGACGTCACTGGTGAAAGAATCTGAAAAATGTGCAGATAATTCAGAAGGGAACAAAAGTTTAAGTTTCCTTCTTGGAGTTAGCTAAAAGCAAATAGTACAGACCTTGCCTGGTCAATGCCAACAGCCCTTCCAAACATGTACTAGCCATTTTAGGAAGTTGCAAAGCACACAAACCAACTGCAGCTACTGCATCAGCTGCAAATTTCCTGTCCGGGTCCCTAATATAGTCCTGTGAGTAATTAAGACGCAAACAATGAAAATATAGTATGAGCCACTTCGAAGAAGAACCTATTATTTGAGATATATGAATGACAAAGCAGTATTAACAGTTTCTTTTTTCCCTTTTCATGAATGAAAGAAA